AATCAGAATGACCATGCTGGGTTTATTTCTATATTTATATAAGGGAGAAGGACTTTGATGCTATCACTCCTTATAACGAGATCATCCATCAGTAGTTATTTTTGATGGGTGTAGTTCTTTAACAAACACTACTAATAAACTGATGGAAAATGTGGCTTATTTTTCAAATTATCTGTTAAGGCTGGACGTGGTGGCACATGAATCAGTAATATATCTAACAGTCCCAACATCTGGGATACTGAAGCAGGAAGATGCTGAGTTTGAGATCGGCCTTAGGCACACAAACATAGCTGTCTCACAAATAAAACAAATAAATGAACAAATAATATTTAGAAGGCGATCACACCAAAAGCAAATGTAGTTTTCACCCAGAAGCAGAATTGGCAATAAAACATTACCTGTTCTATTTTACAAACCTTGTACAAGGCATACCAAGGCATGCATCACCCTACCCAAAACATTTTAGTATTGTATAAGGCTTACACAGTTACAAAAGCTGAAAAACAATTAAAACAAGTCAGGCAACAACAGTCAGGCAAAACAATCTACTTCAAGAAACTTCAAAATATATTCAAGAATTTTTATTTTAATTTACCTTTTTTTCTTTTTCTTTTTTTGAGATAATGTCTCACCCTGTAATTCTGCTTCCCCAGTGTTGGGATTAAAGGCATGCACCAATCAGGTTTTTGTTGTTGTTTGGTTTGTCAAGACAAGGTTTCTGTGTAGTACTGGCTGTCCTGGCTGTAGACCAGGCTGGCCTCGAAGGTAGAGATCCACCTACTTCTGTTTCCTGAATGCTGGGATTAAAGGCATAGGCTACCACCACCACCAGGCTCAAGTATTTCATTATTATTGTTGTTGTTTCCAGATAGGGTTTCTTTGTGTAGCCCTACCTCTCCTGGAACTAGCTCTGTAGACCAGGCTAGCCTCAAACTCACAAGAGATCCGCCTGCCTGTCTCCTGAGTGCTAAAGGATTAAAGGTGTGTGCCACCATTGCCTGCAAGTATTATTTCTTTCTTTTCTTTTTATAATTTATTTTTATTTTATGTGCATTGGTGCTTTGCCATGGACATTGGGTCCCCTGGAACTGAAATTACAGACAGTTGTGAGCTGCCGTGCGGATGCCGGGAATTGAACCCAGGTCCTCTGGAAGAGCAGTCGGTGCTCTTCACCACCGAACCATCTCTCCAGCCCCCACAAGTGTTATTTCTATGTGTCTCTAAAATTAAAACTTTAGGCTACTGAAATGGCTCAGTGGTTAAGAATCCATGCTGTTCATACAGAGGATTGAAATTGGGCTCCCAGCACCCAAGTCCAGTGGATCAAAATGACCAGACTCCAGGGATCCAAAACCCCTCTGGTCTCCACGGGCACCTTCAGACATAATTGCATACACAATACACACATACATTAAAACCCTAAAACCTGCACATATTGAGAAAAAGAGATCTAAGCTGACTAGCCTCCCATCCGAGTTTCACAAAGATGTGGAAAACATTACTAGATCCATTAAGCTTCAACCCTCATCATCAAATCTCTCCATCTGATATCTTTAACAGTCTCTCCAAAGCAAACCTCTGACTTACTGGTTCATGTCCTATACTTAGTCTAGTTTCCTCTTGCTGTAATAAAGACACTCTGACAAACACAACATTGGGGAGGTGGTTTTGTTTTTCTTTCCTGAGACAGGGTTTCTCTGTGGAGCCCTTGCTGTCCTTGAACTCAGGGTTCTGTGGACAGGGATCTTTCTGCCCCTGTCTCCTAGGTGCTGGAACTAAAGGGACAGACACACCACCATCCCTGGTGGGAAGACAGTCCCAGTCCATCCCAGCAGGGAAGTCAGAGTGGCAGGAGCTTAAGGGAAGAGTTCACATCACATAATCAGAAACGGAGCAATGAATGCAAGCTCACACGTTTAAAATTACATTTATTTGTGTGTGCAGGTCAGAGGACAACTTGAAGGACTAAGTTGTTTCTACCATACAGGTCTTAAGCGGTTAAACTCAGGTCTCTGGTGACTTCCCCATCTAGGGAATGGTGCCACCAACAGTGGGTGTGTTTTCCCATCTCATCATAATGAAGATACTCCTATAAAACACGCTCACTGGCCAACCTGATCTAGACAATTCCTGAGAGTCCCTTTTCTGTTGACTCTAGAGCAGCCTTCTCAACCTGTGGGCTGCATGACCCTTTCACAGGGGTCATATATCAGATACCCTGCATATCAGACATTTACATTATAATTCATAACGGCAGCAAAATTACAATTATGAAGTAGCAACAAGAAATAATTTTACGGTTGGAGGTCACCACAACATGAGGAACTGTATGTATTTAAGGGTTGTAGCATTGGGAAGGTTGAGAACCATTGATTTAGAGCGTGTCAAGTTGACAATACCATCCTAATCTTTCCAACTAGTTTAAAAGTTCCTTGAGAATATGTATAACTTATTCTTCACTGTCTTCTGATTCCCTCCATAATAGCATGCAATCTTGGATACTCAAAAACACAAGCACCAGTTTAGGACAAAATCCCATCAGATTAGAAGTGACCTCAGAACATGTTTTAACTATTTTATAGTAATTGGTCATCTGAAAACCAGTTACAATCACTAAGTTGGGAAACAAGAGTGGTGTTTCAGTCTAACAGCCAAATGAGTGGCCTTACTCTTTCCATACAAATGACTAGCTGACTCAAAATGTTCACACAGTCAATAATTAGAAACTAAGACCACACAATAGATATTAATTAAAAAAAAAAACTTATTTCTAACCAAGCAGTGGTGGTGCCTGCCTTTAATCCCAGCATTGGGGTGGCAGAAGCAGGTGGCTCTCCATGGGTTCAAAACCGGCCTGCTCTAAAGTTCCAGAACAGCTAGATCTACAAAAATAAACCAAAACAAACAAGGCTTATTTCTAAACTTTAAAAACAAAGATCAAACTACTGGAGATTCAAGTGGGGCGTGGTATATAGCACACACATGTAATCCCAGCACTTGGGAAACTGAGACAAAAGGATTGCCACAAGTTCAAAGCTACCCTGGCTACATAACCATTACCAGGGTAGCCAGGGATACCTGGGAGGGAAGGAAGCTTTGTACAGAGATAAATCCACATCTGACTTAAACCCCAATTGTTCTCAGGCGTTTCTGAAAAACTCATCAAACGAAAAAACCTCCCTTTACATCAAACCACAAAGGGGTTGAACATACAGCACTCAAAAAATTCTTCCTAACACAAATTACTAACATAATACTTATTTTTGCAGTAAAATATTAAAATTAACCGTGAAAAGTGAACCCAAAATGGAGTGAAGACGAACATTTTATACTAGAAAATTGTATTAAGACGACTTCAAAAATACAACGCGACGGAAAACTTAACAACCTGCTTTCCCAACTCTTGGGAAAAACCAATGGAAACGAGATAACCTGAGATACATAACATAGTTATCACTTTGTTGAGTAGACTACTCAACACCACACCTGAAATACAGAAAGAGGTCAACTCGGGAATTACTAGCACTACTTGTAGCCACAAAAATACTGTCAAGAAACTTTTTCAACCAAGATAAGACACAAGATTTGACTCTCTTCCCGTTTGTGTTGCTCATTCTAAACATAAATGGCACCATGCCAAGTACGTTACACCGAAAAGGATTTCACACTACACAATTTGAGTCAGCATATACATCATAAATGAAAATGACACTGGATTTCCAATCCCAAAGCTCTTCTTGTAGTATGACTCACCAAATCCTCCATTTCTTCCAACTATGAAAACTTTATACTCCTCCCCTGAAACTACCACTATGACCTTCGTAGAAATTGGGCTAGCGATTTTTTTTTTTTGTAATCGTTAAACGCACACTTGATTCAGGG